AAAACATCTCCTCCCAACGATCTGCTCATCAGGCTGGCCCCTCCACCGCTGTCCCTCACTCTTTCTCTGTCTCGTTCTCTCCCTCACTCACTTTTTCTCTTGTCTCCTTCTCCTAGACTGTGCCAGGGACTTAATGATGCTTGAATGCCACTGCTCCTGACTTCCCTCTCCCTGTCCTTCTCTCTTGCTCTTTTTTTAATAAAGGATATTTAAAAACCAGGCCCTCAGCTCCATCTCTGCGACTTTCCAAGATTCATTTTTTGTCTTTTCTTTCACTCTCTCTACTCTCTCTGCTCATTCTTTCCTTTCACTCTTTGGATGGGTACATTGAAAAAGGTAATGCACTCAATGTACATGTTTCAGATACGTACATAAATATGTAAGTAAACCCAAAGACAAACTTGTGTTAATATATTTTACTCATGTGGAAATAATGTAAATATTTGAACTAGGTAAATTCAGTGCATTAGTTTTTTTAATGGGCTATGTGACTAGCTCTCCCCAACACCAGTGGTACACACCATGTATTAGGGGTGCACGATATATACAGGCCAATTTATTATTTGCAAAAAAATGTGATAATGCAATTACTGTTATCAGACCAATACTGTAATTACAGCTGATAATTACAACCACTAATACAGCATGCTATTTTTAGCTTATGTACACATGTAGTAACTAGTGCTGTATTTCCACTCGTTTCAGCTCAATGAAATGGGCAGCATAGTGGATAATACCTGGGGGTCTGATTCTCCGTATAGGTTTTTTCTATAGGATTTAGCTATATCATGGCATGTAAAATTAATAAAGTGTGCATCTTTGCAGATTTAACCTTCTGCTCTTAAATTCAATGCACTTCATATAAAGATTGCAATGTGACCTTGTTTTAAAATGCAACAGTTATAGTTACTAGTATTGATCACGGTGAGGTGTTAATTATTGGTTATCGTTATAAGCTTGTAAAATCAATTTCAGTGCATCCCTACCTTTTGCTGTAGTGTTCCTACTGACTGCTGGTGCTTTGTGCCAAGAAAGAGCAAATAATTATAATGTCAAAGTCTTCTCCAAACTTCTTTGTTATACACACAGACTCACTCAAATGACAGCATGTACTACAGAATTCCTCCTCAGGGCAAACACACGCATTCCCATGTAAAGGTGCAGAGGAATCATAAACAGGTTTAAAATATTAACAAGGGCCACTTTGCAGTAATGAATAATACAGGATTGGGGAGTGAGTGGAACACCAGTGATCTCCAATACCCCTCTTCCATTTCTCCCTCCCAAAGCGACCATTAAACTAATGCACAGCCCAGCAGTGCAGGTTGCTCTATCTGTTCATCAACATATGCATTGCATTCTCTCTCTCTAAGAGATACATCATCCTTTTCAGTACTTTTTAGCTTCGCTTACCTCTAACAATTTAACTAGTTTTATTTATTTTGCAAGTCATCATTGTCCTTCTTCTACAGGCCTGTTTCTCAGAGACCACACATGTCCACATCTACAAACTGCACTGTGCCTCATAGTAGACCATTCTCATTCTACATGTGCCACATACAGCACTGACCAAATTTGAATACTTTAAGAAATTTTTTTGAATTAACCAGAATTAACCAGATGCACCACCATGACCTGAAACACCGCAGGAGAATTCATACAGCCCCGGGGAGGGTTGGACATGTTCTGCTTTGTAAAGATGATGGGGAGGGTACACTCCACCCCCTTTCCATATGATTTGACCTTAAGCACTAGAGGCTAATCTCAAATGCACCCACCTCCCTCGCAGCTCCCTCCAAGACCGTCTACTGCCAAGGCACTGGTTTTAACCTAGACTTCTCTACATAGTCCGAACACAAACGGCCTACGACATCTTCCTTCAGTAAAAATACCAATGGGCTTAGCCCACAATTTGATTCAAATTTAAATCATGATACTGGGTCCACATTCTCATAGTAAGAGAAGGCAGGAAGAGTGTGGCATATGACATGAACATTTATATATATATATAAATACCTCCAGTCAAATGCAAAAGTTTGGGTGCCTCTGGTCAAACTAGGTTGTGTTGACTTTCTAAGTCAAAACAAATGCACATTCTCCTAACACACTAAATTTTTAGGTTTATTACATATTAATGTTTATTATTCAGTGACTACTTGGACTTCAATGCAAATGGTTGAGTTATTTTTAGGTTATAGAAGTGTGTAATAAAACTTTGGGCCCATCTGCAGTCCTTGGCCTTTTAAGGGGTTAAAGCACGACTGCTGTTTATTTGCTGAATTTAATGTAAAATATAAAAAAGTTTTACATAAACACACAAATATAAAACTGTGGCATACACATAAGTCAACACTTTTTTTCCCAATATACTGAACTGTAGAGGATGTGTTCCCTTATTTTCACTTAGAAAATCAACAAAACATGTCATTTGGCTGGAGTGTTCAAACTTTTGCATACAACAGCATATGTGGTAAGAATCTTCGCTAAACCTAACCCCAACATTAATCTCCATGATCAAAAAGAAATGGTTCCACCCTTTCAGCTGAATTAAACATTAGCTTTGGTAAAACAAAAATACTCTTTATAAAATCAAGATTGGTGGTCCTGACATTATAGGTTACTCTTGTTTTTTTCCTAATATGGGACATCTTTGTCCTAATAACATGAATAAACAAACACACACAAGCATGCATACACAGACATCCATGAGTGAGGAGGTTGATGGGGCACAGGAGCCAGACGTGGGTTCCTGGCAGTCTGGGTAATTAATGTGTATGTCAACACTGAGAAAGCAGTCTCATAGAGGAAATCTGAGCTCAGCATATCCACACACTCACAACGAGAGCAGAGAGGAAGAATACAGGAATGGACAGGATGAGAGAGAAGATGAATGTTATCTGTCTGGACTACGATGTTTTATGGACTAGCTGAAACATGTCGGCGTCTCTGTCTCGTTTAAAAACTCTTCATCTCGTGTCCGAAGAGCCATCAGCAGTGCTCTCATACCCTGACCCAGCCAGGCCCCGACAACACATCATCGACCATTAAGGTCTGTAGACTGCTTTTCAGAGAATTTCATTTCAAAACGCTGCTTCTTTTATTAAGCATAAGCAGCTTTTCTGGGTTGCCTGTCCTGGGACAACAGATAGAGACAGGGAAGTGCAAGATTGCTCCAGTTAAACATCATGTCAAGAGTAAATGAGATGAGAAGGGACATATTAATAGGTGATCTGTAACAACTAGTATGTTCAGTAATGGGAATGGGGCTTCAGGACACCACCTATAGATGCATGAATCTGTCCAAGCCAGATGCTATGTTTTGTCTGTGTTTCTTTTTTCACTACCCTTTTAGAGGAAAAAACCAACCCACAATACCCTCAGAATGCTCCTTCATGTGCCAATCTGACTACACATGCACAGCATGATGGAGATTTCTTAGGGTCTGCGTTGCTTTTCCCGACTTTTAAGATTAAGCGGGGGTAAGAAAGCTTTAGTGAGCAACAAAACAAACTTAACACGTCTACATGTTGTGAACAGCTAGACTCTTCTGCTAGATTGCTGTAAATGTCCAGGAGGGCTTACCTTTTATTTTAATGTGTAGTCAAAGCACTCTTACAACACACACTCACATGCAGAGACTGTGCATTGTTTTATGTAAACATGGCCCATTTTTTTTTAAATAGCCAACCAATAAAAGTGTCTATATAGAGCTGGATACATTTTGTTAGACAGTTTTCGAGGATACAGTAGACTACATTAAAACTGGTTAATGCGTACTTGAGGCAAGTGCATAGTATAAATTACCAAAAGAGTACAGTACATCAGTTTCAGGCAAAGTTAGATTTTACAAAACACGCTTGCTCTTCTAACACTGTGTTAGTGGGACTGTGCAGATTTTCTGATAAGCCGCCTTTTTTACTGAAGCAGCACGAAATAAGTGAAATAAAGTTAAACAGATTTCAGAAAACCTGAGGACACTTTCATTCGTACAAACTCTCAGCAGTCATTACTAAACGCGCACGAAAATAACTGAATGACCCAAAAGCGCAGTGAAACTCCAAAAGTGTCCCCGAAGTGTAACACGGGCTGCATCGCATCCCTAAACCCATCCTCCGTCCCGGGAGAGCTTCTCGGTTTGTTTCTTCTGTTTCGTTTTTATAATGCATGACTTTTCTGCTTTTCTCAGTCACTGAGGCATCAAGCTTCACTGCCTCGAGCAGCGCTGTGTAAAAGCGCGCACAGGACACGCAGAGTTTCACACTTTACCGTAGCGCGAAACGAGCGCGCGCTGCGGCCACACACAAACACACACTAGCACACACGCCTCCAACCTACAAATCACAGCGCGCCATCCTGCTCCATTTAACTCCCAAACAATACGCACTGTAAATAAACAGACCAAATAAAACTATGTGATAAGTCACGCTAACTTCTGCGCAAATTTTATTCTACAGCCTTTATACTTAAAGGAATTCATATAACCTCCTGTGACACTGCAGTAAACCTGGACCAACCTAGGACATTGCTGCCCATATCCTGAGCCATCAAGTTCCCGACGAATCCTGACTGCTTTTCTCTTTCCACTGAAAGCTCAACATCTACAGGACAGAATAAATGAACCCATGTAATGGCCACACCGGATAATCAACCTCGCGGGGTTCATTCATAACGAAACCATTCAAAGTCTTATCAGTGACTTATCATCCACTGCATAGCTGTGTCTCACTATCAAGATTGGTTCACGTCCAAGACAGCACACCATCATCTAATCTATACGCTGAAGTGGGCATGAATCTTGCTTAAGCAGCATCTTATCACCTATGTTGTCTGGGCGTGTGTTCATCTGGAGGGGGAAGTCGGGGCGCCTCGTTTTCCCTTTAACCTCCCCTCAACAACTGTGGCTAACAACGTGTTTAGCCTTCAACACAACGAAATGAAATATGCTCTCGTCAAGGAGTGGAAAGCAAGTTATATGTAGATATACATCCAGAGTAAATTACCTGCGCTGCTCATGAAGGTTCCACAAATGAAAAGGAGAGCCAGCACAGGAGCGGGAGCTTGTTCGCGCCGTATCCGCACAGAGAGCATCTTTCTCGTTTACGCTGCTGCCAAACGTCCCAGGTGCTCTCGATGAAGTCGCCGACGAAGACACCCTTCCACACGCTTCTGTAGGCGGCTCAGTGTGGAAGGCGTGATATTCTCCTTAGAAAACCGAGCTTCCGTGGCTACAAAATAGTCCGTCTCCACCAACTTTTCACCAACGGGCAGAGCAAAAACACTCAGGTGAGAAGTTCCGCTGTGAGGAAAACAGAAGCGAGTCACACGGTCAGCGAGGCGAACTTCATGAAGCCGCTCAGCAGTTTCTCACATGTGAAGTTCGACGGCTTCAAAACTTCACGACAGGTAGACTATTTTCTGTCGATAACACGAGCATTTCGACTCGACCAAGCAGACTGTACAGCTCACTTTCGAAGAGGAAATCAGACAGCTTGCCCTCCGATATATCGCCTCAGCTTGACAGTCTCCGCTCGCGCCAACAGCTGTTATCTGTGCCTCGCCATCCTCCTCTGAACGTGTCCTGTCTTCTGTGGACCGCGGACAGTCAGGCTGTAAACACCAATACGGCGCCTTTGAACACAGAGTTGAAATGCCAGCCTCTGGACTCCCATTGCCCGCTCAGCCAATCACCGAGCACCTCCCTCCGCGAGAAGGCTGGAGAAGTGAGCGCCAGAAGTCCAGCAGAGGGGGGGATAGAGATGTGTCGGCTGCATAAAAACCCCGGAGCTGGATTCGGGGGCTTTTCGGAGAGGAGTAGCGTAACTGTTCGGGTTTGAAGCTGAATTTCTTACAGAACAGTTATGATGAAGGTTCATGTTTATGGCATGTGGTAAGGCAACAAAGCAGACATATAAAAACCTAAACAAATAAATAAATACCTGCAACAGGTTCTATTTTCCAACATTGTAAGAGCAATAAGAAGGGAAATACGTACTTTTTTAAAGCAACCGCCCGTATGTAAGCACAGGCGTAAACATCTGTAAACAGATATTTGTTCTCAGTTAGGAATCATTTTGAGCTAAGGCATAGACTTTCCTATATGTGTGCGTAGATTTTACTAGGATTCAGGGAGGTGCTATACGGTAGCGTTATATATTCAACCACACGAGGGCGCCCTTTCCTACAACTGCTTCAATACTTTGCTGGAAAATGTAATAAACGTGTACAGTGGTGTGTGAATAAAAGTATGTAATTTCTGTGATTATTTTTAACCACTAAGTTAAAGACAGATGAGGACTGTGCGAGCGCCATGCCTTTCCGTGAACCCACAATATAAGTGTTTATCTCGCAAGTGACATTCAGTGAGAAAGCTAACACTCCTATATGTAATATGTGTAGCTCAAGCAACCAGGTGGCCAGTGTAGGTGGTCATTAGTAATCTGCAGATATTGCAGAGGTTGGAAGCCATGATAAACTGAGTCAGATATAATATTTCATCCGAACAAAATGTTCTCTATCTAAAACACATAATTTATCACTACAGTAGTCTTTACCTGGTTCTTTTCCACATAAGAAAACTGAGTAGACTGCATTTGGCTTCAGTGACTTTGCTATGGTCACCATGGACGCCATTATTGCTTTTCGCAGCAGACATCAACACATGAAAGATGCCATAACTCTGTCCGTCACCCATCTGCACCCCACGCTCCCTCCAGAAGCCTCCTTTTAAAGAAAGGGCTGAAAGGGTGGGCAGAGAACCAGCAGGAACCATCTAGGCTTAAGTTACTGTATCTGACATAATCTTGAACATTTAGTAGCTCAAAGCCAACTTCAAAAGCTCATAGGCCTAATCCCTAGGCACTTGTCATGACTTCCCTCCTACCGTCCCTTTCAGTATAACCATTAGACAAGTATGCAAGCCCCCGGATTCTTGGAGCAAGGATGTATGTCTGAATGTGTATATTTGGTTAGTCACCAGGCCAGTTATGCAATTTGAAGCATTTTTAGGTGTTTGAGAGAGAAAGATGTGTCTAATACCGTGCTGTACAATGTGTCCAAATTCCTTTGGAAAGGCCTATTGGAAACTGATTCCTGCAAGAAGTGTAAAAATATTCAAGACATAAAGCAATGTGCAACACATTTCCAAGAGCTCTTAACTCCTAATACAGTCTGTCACTATCCTAACCAAAGTCATCCAACACTGGCAAGAATTTTCCTTCTCTGGCTCATCTCTGCGCATACCCCCAATCATTGTTTGTACAGTGTCTTGTTTGTGTTATCAGTGTCTGTATAGGTATATATAGCTGGTGTGTGTCTAGTTCACTGGGCGATGTCTTGCTAATGATTGTCACTGTTTAGTCATGTACTCCTTTTCCAGTTTACCTTGCTTTCCTACTCTGCTAAAAATAAAGGTGCTAAAAAGGGTTCTGTGAGCATTGCTATAGAAGAACCACTTTTAGATCCCTAAAAAAGACATTTCGAAAAAGAGATTTATGAGTGTGAAGAAGTCTAAAAGTAATAACCAATTTAAAGCATACTCAGCCACTTTTCATATTTTCAGAAGATTTCAGTTGTTGAGCTGTGAAGTCATTAAAAGTGGTTTGGAATGTTACATTGTAGAGAAATTTGCCACCTCTGCCTTCTTCACAATGCTGGCGATAGGAACCAGAGATCACTGTGTCTACAATACAAATAAAGCCATTTTAGTTACTATCCAAAATAACCAGTGAACCTACATGTGTGAGTCTTTTTATGAGTGTGAAGAAGTGTTTTTAAAGGTGAACTTTCACAAAAGTGTTGTTAATGGTTAAAGAATTTTCACAAAATCTGAAAGTTCTATACCAAAGGATAAGTCCACCGATTTTTGAAATTTTCAGAAGATTTCGATTGTTGAGCTATAGAGTCATTCAAAGTGGTTTGGAATGCTACATTGTAGAGAAATTTGCTGCCTCTACCTTCTTCACAGTGGTGGTGATAGAAACCAGAGATCACAATGTCTATGACACAAAAGAAACAAATTTTTTACTATCCAAAATAACCAATGAACTTACATGTGTTACTTCTGAGTTTGTATATATAATACTGACGATGGTAAAACATGATTTAAAAAAAAAGTTGGGTACTATTTTGCCATGCAATGATCTGCATCTACCTCTCCACGCTGAATGGATTAAAAAATATATACGTTTTTGGCCAAAAACTTGTTGCAAAGTTATCATAACACAATGTCTCAGGCATCAGGCAACATATATGTAAACATTTCTCTTAGGTTGCTTTTAGAGGCAGTAAATCTTTGGACATCTGGTTCCTATCACCACTACTGTAAGCAATTCTGACTCAATTCAGAATTCAGTCAGTTTCTCTAGAATGGAGCATTTCACATTAAACCACTCTAAATAACTTTGTGTACATCCTAATGGTTGAATTATTTAAAACATATGAACATGTAAGTGTTCTTTGTAGAATATTTGCATTATGTGGAGGTTCTTTAAACTTTAAAAACATTCTTCACATCCAGACCGTCATTGAAAGGCTTGGGGAGCTAAAAGTGGTTCTTCTATGCTATTGCTCCAGAGTAGTGTAGTCTGCTTTGAACTTTATTGGTTTGCTCTTGGTTTAAAGTAATGTATTTAGTTCAAAATAATACATTTGCTTGTGTTATCTCTGACTTCCTGTGTATTGACCTCAATTTTAGATTATGAATATGATAGCTGAAAATGCCTTAATAAATGTCCTTCATGCTGACATTCTGCCTCTGGCTCCTGAGTATCATCAGCTTATATCATCAGTTTATCATATATATTGCATAGCACACGTTACTTGTGGTCACACTTCACCCTCATATTGTATGTTTAATCTAATTTAGGAGATTTGCACAAGACACAAGTGATGTTACACCGAATCATGTTCAAACTAATTGGAAATGTATCTCAAGAGCATGTGGCAGAGTCAGGGCATGAGAGAGAGAGACTGTGGCATGGTAATGTGGGTTAATATTAGAAAATGATGAGACCCAGGTGTCAGGCTTCAGGATTTAAGGTTTATTTGCCATATGCAACCAGTACAAGAATAGGAACAGTGGAATTATTACTTGTCAAAGGTCCCCCAACCTGCAATCAATCAAAACACACAACATACAGGCGGCACATACACAGACAGGTAGGTTTTGTAGGGTGAACAAAGCCAATTATAGAGACATAATTACAGAGTTGCTGTAATAACAAACTAAACCTGATGACATTAAATTAGCTTTGTATTTCAAAGTTTGGAACAGATAAAGTCAACTCTTCTTGTAAAATGGGGGAGGAACATTCTATAAATAGCGTTTGTCCTCTGAACGCAGCGGAAGCTATAATTGAATATTATTTTCAGGAATTATTGAATTGACCCAAACCACACACTAATTACTCCTGCTGGGCCAGAGAGGAAGGCATTTAATAGATTTCAATAAGTGCGTACGGTATATGTGCAAGCTCTAATCACCCCATGCAGTTCAGCTGATGATACTTCCCAGAGACATATAAAGTGTGGAGGAGTTGTGTTACTGTACATAATAAAGGCAATGTACTGTATATGTGCAGTGTTTAATTGGAGTAGCATATACTCAGTAGATTCTTCCTTGTAGCATTGTTTTCATTGTATCCTTGCATCTAGTACATTTTGCTTTTGTGATTTCATGCTGTTCATGTCGTTGTTTGCTCACCTACATGTAAGCCTGTTTCCTTTGCTCTGATCTCCATCTGCTTAGTTTAAATGTAAGGTTATGATACATTTTGTACATAATGTACACTACCCATCAAAGGATTAGTCTTTTAATGCTTTTAATACAAATATGTGTGCAATGAAGTTAGACGCTAAGGATGAACCAGGTCTACTTTGAGGAAAACGGTATCACGTGTAAATAGTTGTGGCCATGTTTGTGGCAGTGCTCCTTTGGAAACAATGCCAAAATCATTTTATCACTTGTGATGTCACAACATGCACTCAAACCTTTCAAGTATTTAAACCACCATGTGTTAAATTACACATTTTCTGAGTGGAAATGCACTATTGAAAAAGATGATTATTTGATGGTTCTTTAGTAAAGGAAATGAGTTCTATAGAGAACCATTTTGTGCTTAAATGGTTCTTTGCATGGTGAAATGGTTCTTCCGGTTGATGGAGAATGTGTTGTTCTATGTGGAACATTTTTGAAAACAGTTCTAAATAGCACCAAAAAGGGTTCTTTTATTGTGATAATGTCAAGCTTGTAACAACAAAAGAACCCTTTCTGCTGCTTTTTAGAATGCTTTTTAAAAAGGTTCTATATAGACCTACTGTATATACAGCACATTCTCCATCAATCGGAAAAACATTTTCACCATTGGAAAGAGAACCACTCAAGCATGAAATGGTTCTCTATAGAACCATCCTTTACTAAAGAACCCATGAAGAACCATCTTTTTTAAGAGTGTAAGTTAAAACATCATCTAAAGAGAACACACTTTTAAATATACAGTACTGTTTATACAAAGTCAATATGAATCAGAAATCATAATGCTTTTTCTTTCTGAATTGTTGTATGATGGAGGGTGAGCCAGCTCTGAGCTACTGATTGTTTTGCTTGACGATAGGTGGGTGTGGTGAGAAGAGGAAGTGAAACATGATTTTATTAGTTAATATTATTTTTCTCACCATTTGGTGCACAATGACGATCAAAACTC